CATCACACCATAAAATGGGAAAAAACATTTATACATAATAAAGCAAGAAAGTGGCTGTGAACGTGGGAGACTATAAATCAATAAACTCAACTTAAGAACAGTAAATCGTACAACAATAATCTATAGATCAAAATGAAGCTTATAATAAAGGGAATATAGATATATATAATCAAATTACTGAATAGTTATACCATAAGAATATATAGATAATATTAGTCCATTATTAGGTCTCAGAAGTTACCCGTAGATTAATCTTGCTAGGATATAACAAAAACATTTCTACCAGTATTAAAATTGCTTGGGTAAAGATTGAGATATGTTAAATTTCTATAATCACTGACCTCTTGAATAGTATTAGATACAAAAAATAAGCTTACAATAAACATTATTGCGTAGACCCCAAACAGTTGTTGACACAATATATCAAATACATCGATTAATTTGGTAAGACTATCAATAACTTATGAGCTATTGTTTGAGATGACTTGAAACTTCGAGATTACCTTACCATACTCTATCATCATTCCGTTATAATAAAAAGAATTCACTGAACAAATTTATTTCTGACATTTCACTCAGTTGCACTGCGCTTGCACTGAATATCATGGCATGAAAACATAATTAAATAAGTATTTTTACTTCATTTTCAAATGTATAATCGTTCAACAAACAAAAATCGTAACTTTATAACTTCATTCGGTCAAATAATCCATTCTATATGGGTCTTATATCTACAATGTAGAAATTAACGTAACAACTCTCTAAGAATTGTTCATCTGTTTAATGAACTTTTCAATATTTTTAGATCGAATGAAGTGATATAACAAATAGAGTAGATGATCAGACATATTAATATAAATGACTTGTAAAATAGCATGATTATCCTTGTGTTTAAGACATTTAATTTTTTACATATATTCTCTTCCTTTACCCATGAAAATGATAATTAAAAATTTCCAACAAGTACGTTTAATTTTCGATCAAATGTTTTAAAACTACGTATCGACATTCCTTTAAGCTTTGTGATTTTACTTTAAAATGACCAGTTAATAATGCCAAATTTATCTTTCTGACCAAAAATAATCTTCTCTATCTTTTTCCTACTTATTGGTTTAATACATAAAGATTGTTGCAAGAAGGAACCAAATAGATACGCGTCGCAAAAACCATTTGATTTGTGTGAGGGCTGGAATGCTGCACACATGCCCAAACCAAAGCAGGTAGTTTGTCTACAAAGCCGCTCCCCGAGCACTTGACCTAGAGCAACGTTAGGAGATGCGGTTCCATTGTAGCCGGTGACCAACAATCGGTCCACATTCCATTTTTCCCCTCAGAATTTCGGAATCCGTGTGCATGATTGTTTTGTAGTCAAGGTTTTTCAACTCCCCTAGGTGGACCTTCCGTACCCACCGACGCAGCTAAAGCGCCGGACATTCACTTTCCGTCCACTCAATTTTGTAAACAACACTTCCACCGCGAGAAGGCAGTAACTAGGACTATTTTGTATTAGCTGTTTACGCGTGGCCATGTGAGAGCGTTTCTGGGAGGAGAGCTGACACTCCCCACCCTCGGGTATACCAGGGCATTTTAGAGCTATTTATTGATTAGTTGATTAGGAATAAGTTTTCATTTCCTAATCACATTATGTTTGGGTCAATGTGCTTTGATATATCCGACAAATAATGTTTAGTGAACGAGAACACACGTGGGGACATTCGAATGTATTTGAATACGAAATTGCAGAACACCTTAGTAAACCATACCGTAAATACTTCATTGACAAAATGTCAATGAACTGTCTCAAACCTGACTGTTCCTTTTACGAATGTCAATTGTCTTAGACTTCACTGTCCCTTTATTTCCACAGCAATAATTCTCTGTTCTCGATCTCTTTTCTTTGGTCTTAACCTTCTGCCACCGGACATTTCACCTTCGATTGATGATACATATTAATTATGTATGTAGACATCAGTAGCATACACCGCAAATAAACAATATTACTGATATTTATTTCTGATTTTAGAACTAGTCACAAGTTAAAATCATTTTGGAATGATGTTTCTCTGAGACAAATACTCCAATATCTCGAAATGTATAAATATATTATAGGTAATCGAAATGAAATAAAAATCGAATCTAATTTCCATACTTACGTCACTGAATATTAATAATAAAATGAAATGTTAACCAGTAGCATAGAACATTTCATATCTGGATACTGATGAGTATTATAATTAAGTAAAACTAATAAGTGAACATTGTATCATTAACAATAGCTAAGAGGTATATATTGTTATATCTATTTTCTCATCCAAGTTTTGAAATATTCATTTAATTTACCTGAAAAGTTTAAGAGACCAATTAAAATTACACCGGATCCTGTCAAATGTGTTAAAAAACTAATTCAAATTATAATTTTAATAAAACCATTATAACAAAACTACTTTTAAAAGTAGTGAGTATATATGGACACTTCAGAACAATCCTTCATCTGCAAAAATATTTAATATCCGGGTTTATAGACGATAAAATGGCGATTTAGATATGGATTTCATTTTAGAATCATCAGTATAAATTAGCAAGGTTAATATTTAGTTAATAATATTCGAAAGCTTATGTGATAATTCATTTATGGCTAGAATTACAATAAAAGTTATTTAAGTGATTGAGATTAAATCAACGATAGCTTATAGCTATACATTTCTTTTTTAAGTTTAATTATTTGTAAGTACATCACTAGCAAGTAAAATATTTCACTTTTATTGATACTTTCAGATTTTAAACAACTACAAGCCCTAGAATTGAACAGTCGGTGTAATGTTTTTGTTGTAAAAAATAAAACGACAGTTATACAATGAAAACCAGAATTCACTATAACTTCTTGACATTTTGTTATTTTCAAGAGGAATACATCGATTAAAGTAAAAATAATCCATTGTTGCATTTAGTTTTTGATGTAATCAATTTTGTTATTTTGCACAGTGTCTACTGAAAAATCAAATATAAAATTAGACGAACTCATTCTCTATTTTCCTTAAAAACTGGATTTCCTCTGCTACATGTACCTTTTTAAAGACATAATCATTAAATAAGCTTAATGTTTTATAGGTTGTATCAAAACTACTTAAAATACATTTAAGTAAGTGGAGTGATTGTGTTAAATTTGTATAGGATGATTTATCACCAAATTATTAGTGGCTTTCAATTACAAACTTAATCAGATTAATGTCTTATTTATCAAACTAATATAATTTCAATATATAAAACTACAATCGACTTTACAAACAACACTAAATGCATACTTATATTTAAAAATATGCTTTTATTATGATATGGAGTTAATCAGGTCATATTTGATGTTCAGTGATAGTGTTTCTCTATCATAAGTTGGCTATAGCTGAAAGATGTGAACAATTAGATTTCGATTCATCGTGTCAGTAGTACTGTATACACAGTGAATTCTTAAAAAATACTGTTTCGTATTAAATGTGAAATTGTGGGAGTGAAATTTGATACAGTATTTTGGTTACCATTATAAAGTCAGTCAACAAATTATGAACTGTGATGATTACCTGTCGTGTATGGACCTTCTACATTTATATTAGATTTATGAATAAAATGTCTCTCCCTCCGTAAAGCAAAAGTGATCGGTATTTCAATGAGATAGTATTATGTAAATGGTGAATTCCACACATTGCCGGTTATTTTACCATTTCAACATATGATACGATATTAAGTATAAGGTCGTTCACTCCAAAAAACACTGTCCATATTAAAACCATTTTATACAATCCATATAAACTGATTTGAGAGGTGAATGAAGATATAAGTTCAAATTTCACACCTTAGTCAAAGATCTAAATCCAATGAAGACATAATTTTTCATCCTTCACATGTTAGCTAATAAAGCTACTAAGCAGTCAAACAAGAAACAGTTTTCAACCAAGTTTCGTCTCATTTTAAATACTGATGGCATAATAAGGTGGAGAATGTTAAGAGGTGGTATAGTGCTTTAAGTGCCTAATTTGTAACCAGTAATTTGAGCACTCAAATACTAACCGACCCAACTCGTTTTCGGTAGCTGTTTAGTCTTAATGCCTCATATGCAAAGAGTAGTTAATCGCCGAGTACACAAACATGTAATTCATAATTAAAATACAACGAAAATAGAACGAGTTTATTCAAGTAATCATTCATGCTTTGCTGTAATGTTGTACTAGTAAAGCTCAGAACATCAATGAAGATATTGAAACTGATATGGTGACTAATAGCTATATATATGCTTTACCAAAGTCGAGGATTCCGTTTGTATATGATGTTTGCATATATATAATCAAATAATATCGTGAATATTATTACTGGAACTATGGTTACACTATTAAAAGTTCACCAGATGAATTTGAATTCTTCAAAGAAACGTTCTTCAGTACAGTTAAAAAAAACGATAACCGGTTTGGAGTGTAATTTCGTTCCAGTCACAATTCCAACCCACCCTAATGAGTGATCATAAAATAAATATAAAAATTTAAATGAAAACATAATTCTACCGTTTGGCTGAATCGAGGAATGTTATCTCAATGACTAGGCTAAATAGTATGACATTTTTTAAAATTTTCCATTGACTGATCAGTGAGTAGTGACAAATATCTATTCCTGATTACTGAACGAATGATATCGACCGAGTTTCAATCGAATATACGTAGTAACAGCTCCTACATTATCTTTAGTATTTAAACTAGTCTTTTTCGTTAGAAAAAAATAATTGACTAAGTGTAATTCGAAAAACCTGTTATCATTGTTTAAATTATTAGGTTATTCTCAAGTGATCTTACAATTCGTTCAAAATTAATGAGTGCGTAACAACTGGTGAAAAAACAGCCTGTGATACTGCTCGCATGCCCAAGCCAAAGCAGATAGTTTTTTTAGGAGGCCACTATCGGAGCCTTCGACATAAAGGTATAATCCACAAGGCAGTGGAGCAACTTTAGAAGATGCAGTCTCATGGTTATTTATTTATTTGGACACATGAATATTGGTACAAGAGAGCGCCAATATATATGCGCCACACAGAACAATGAATATTCGAAGAGGAATACAAAGAAAGAAAAAAAAGAAGCTAAGGAGCACAAAAAAAAGAGAGAACAATAACGAAGAGATTGGTGTAAGGTAATGTGCTAGTAAACAGGGAACGCAAAGGTACAATCGGAAGAAATCTTCCAGGTAAGGGAGACACAACTACTTTTTATGAAGAAAGTAAAAGAAGGTTACAGCAGGATCGCCACTGGCTTCTATTCTGAGCCATATCTGATAACGTCTCTAGCCACTGTGTAGCACCATCTCTCGGACCCCAACCAGGGAGTCGTGAAGGACCGACACAAGCCAGTCCTTTGCAGCTTTCTTTCATACCACGACACCATGTCATACATTGACTACCTCTCCGCTTTTTCCAACCAGTTCCAGAGTCGGCAAATAATGCATGACGTGGAATTCTCTGGGACGACATTCGGAGAACATGTCCAAGCCACCGAAGTCGCTGTTTCAAGATGGTGACACCAATTGCATTGCCGTCTCTGCGCCCGGACACACGATGCCGATCTTCTGCATTACTAATATGGTGTTGCCACTGGATTTCAGCAATCCTTCGGAGACAGCGATGATCGAACACAGAGAGTCGTCTAACGTCCTCAACTCGGATAGGCCAGGTTTCACAAGCATAGAGCAGAACTGCTCTCACCAACGCGTTGTAGATCCGACCTTTTACAGCCAGACCAGCATCACGAAGGCGCCAAAGATGGCCCACATTGGCATAAGCCGATCTGGCTTTCACTATACGTGCATTGATCTCATCACTCACACCGCCACCCCCACTTATGCAGCTAACCAGATACACGAACATCTCGACTACGTCTATCTGCTCACCATCCAGGGTGAGTACAGGATTACGATCCTGCCAGTCTTGTAGAAGTACTTTGCACTTCGAAGGTGCAAAGCACATACCATACCTACGGACACTGATTGCCAACTGATTAAGTGCGGATTGCATGGCTTGGGCATTATCGCACAGTAAGAAAATATCATCCGCATACTCAAGGTCGAGAAGTCTTTCTCCAGGCAACAGATCTACACCACCATTACTTACATTCATCAGAGCTGTTTCCAGAATGTCATCGATGGCAAAGTTGAAGAGGAATGGAGAGATTGGGCAACCCTGCCTAACCCCACTACTCGAATGGAACAATGGAGAGAGGCGGTTGTATGCCCTCACTCTGCCTTAGGTGTTTGTATATAGGGCTTTTAGGATGTTAATAAACTTCTCAGGCACACCCTTCTTCAATAGACAATCCCAGAGAACAGTCCTGTTCAACGAATCGAAGGCAGCCCTGATGTCAAGAAACACTACGATCGTTGGCCTTTGATAAGAATGGCGATGTTCTAACATTTGGCGGAGGGTGAAGATATGATCAATACATCCTCGACCAGAACGAAACCCAGCCTGCTCCTCGCGAGTCAATCTTTCTCGGGTTTCGAACAACCTACGAAGTATGACGAAAGCCAATAGCTTGGACGCAATCGGAAGTAGACTTATCCCCCGATAGTTGTTACAGGAACGACGTGAACCCTTTTTAAAGATAGGGACAACTATCGACTCATTCCATGACGTTGGTACATTCTCTAGTTCCCAAACCTTGGTAAACAACGTCGTCAATTCCTTAGTCAAAAAGTCACCACCATCTTTAAAAAGAGCCGGAGGTAAGTCATCTGGGCCAGGTGATTTGTAACGCTTCAAGAGTTGGAGTTCCTTGCGGACTTCCTCCTCGTTTGGTGGATCAGTCGTCACCGGCCATGGAGGGGGGGGGCAGGACAGTCTGACCGATGTTGCCGGAGCAGCAGGCCAGTTGAACTGCCCTTCGAAAAATTCTGCCCATCGTCCAAGACGTCGATGGATGTTAGTGATTGGCATCCCATCATCCTCGCAGATTGTTTCACTCACACCAGACTTCTTGCTGCCAGTGGCTCGGATGAGCTGGAAGAGCTTCCAGGAGTTACCAAATGCAGCTGCTGCTTCCAGCTCATTAGCACGCTTCGACCACCAGGCTTCTCGATCCTTACGCAAGCTTTGCCCAATTTCCTCACGTAACTTCCTTCGTTTATGGTCAAACTCACGATCACCCGGAGTAGACCGACGGGCTTCAATGAGTTGTAAGGAACCAGAAGAAACCCAGTGCTTAAAAGCGGGACGTTTCGCAAACCCACAACTGACTGTTCCCGCCATTTTCATGGCGTCATGCAATTGCAACCAATGCTCATCTATACTTTTCGGTGGAGTGGTAGCTAGCCTAGAGGCTAGCTCGGCTCGATACTTACTAGCAACAGAAGTTGCAACCAGCTTGCTAACATCAATCCGTTGATGGCGTTCACTTCGTTGTCCACTGAAAAGTAAGGCAAGATTGGCGCAGACCAAGGCATGGTCAGAGTCCAGATAGGTACTCCAAAAGGAGCGGCAGTCTTGTACACAACCACGCCAGCGGTAGCTGATCGCGATGTGATCAATCTGAGTCCAGGCTTGAGATGCAGAGGGAGGACGCCAGGTGGCACATCGGCGATGACTGTGCCGAAAGTTAGTGCTAGTCAGAAACAGGTTGTGGTCTGTGCAAAGTTGCAGTAGACGGTCCCCGTTATCTGACCTTCGACCAACGAGTTCCCATCGGCCACCTAAACGACTCTCTTCTGTGCCTAGACACCCGACCTGAGCATTCAAGTCTCCGGCTAGTACTACAATATCTGTCGAACGCACTTTCTGGAGAAGAACTGATAACTGGTGGTAAAACTCATCCTTGATTGCATCCGGGCTGCAATCTGTCGGGGCATAGGCGGAGATGACGAAAAGACATCGTTTCTCACGCCGATTTCTTCTCACTTTGATGGAACTCTCTAATCTAACAGCACATAACCGACTGTTAATGGGGATCCAATCGACTAGTGCTGCCTCAGCTCTAGCGCTTAGTGCGACACCAACGCCGGCAAGACCAGACGAAGATGCCACAGGGTCCCCGGATAAGCGCACGTAAAGCAAGCTTTTTGAAGTGACAGATGGAGAGCGAATTTGTAGTACTTCACCAGAGTCTTGAATACGGGTCTCGGATAGACAGCAGACATCGATATTAAGACTTTCCAAAGACATAGCCAGCCTATCTGTTGACCAACCTGCATAAGTGTGCGAACGTTGAAGGCAGCCAGTTTGAATGGCGCATGTGGTTTCAGAAAAACAGCTTCAGTACTCATATTCGATGGTAACATACAATTTTCGACCGGACAGTGACTCGAGAACGTTTAGATACAGTCGGATTTCCACCAAAGACGAGCCGCTGTATAAGTATAAAAGAGGGTGAATAATGTGGAAAATAATAATAATAATAATAATGACAATAATAGTAATAATAATGACAATAATAGTAATGATAATTATTTGAATCGATTGATTGTTTTTCGGAGCGAGAAAAGTAGTTGCCATAGACATAGAGTTCATCGTTTGTGTGTGGGCTGTGATACTGCCCGGGTGCCCAAACCGAAGCAGGTGGTTATCTTAGGGGGCCACTCCCCGAGCCTTTGACCTAAAGGTCTAACCCACAAGGCAGTGGAGCATCGTAAGGAGATGCAATCCCATGGTAGCCGGTGACCAAAGATTGGTTCATACGCCATTTGTTCCCGCAGGATACTGGAGCCCATGTGCACCATTGGTTTGGAATCCGGTTAAAGCGCCGGACATTCGCTTTTCGTCCTCTCATTTTCGTAAACAACACCCCCGCCACGAGAAGGCAATGAGTAGGACTTCCTTGGCAGAGGCTGTATACGCGCGGCCGTGTGAGAGTATTTCGAGAGGGAGAGCGGACTCACCCCACTCTCGACCGTACCAGGGCATTCGGGGGCCGGTGATAAACAACTGGTTCATACGCCTTTTGTTCACTCAAGATCCTTGAGCCTATGTGCACCACTGGTTTGGAACCACGGTTACCCAACTTCCCTACGTGGGTCCTCCGTATACACCAACCCGGCTAAAGCGCCGAATATTCGCGGACGCTCCCCACCCTCGGCGTGCCAGGGCATGAAGATATGATCTGCACTAGCCAGGATCTACTCCAGGATACTGGTAATTAACTATGATGCACTTTTCTCCATATCAGAAACATTAATCTATTAGGCCAACAATTTAGAAAACTTTGTAAATAAATTGGTAACGTATTTAAAACATGGAACTTGGTTGTTCAAAAATCTGATTTCAGATGGAGTCACTTGAGGATTAAGTATGTAATGGTCTGATTTAGTTTCAAAGTAAATGAAACTGTTACAAATGAAGACGTTGATCCCTAGTTAGGATTGGAGACAAGTAATTGGTTACCAGACTACAGAATATTGCAAGTTTTTTATAACAAATTCGTAAAGCAATCAGCGGGAAAGAACTGAACCAGAGGATTTGGAAAAGTGCAAAGTGTTACTTAATAGATGAAACCATAGTACATTACTGAACTTAGCAACATTCAATAATCAAATGTTCATCCCGTTTTGACCAAATACTGTAGAAAAGTCTGTATGCAATGTTTTAATTCAATCTAAGATTGATTGAATAAATTAGTTAGTAAACTCGTACGTTGTTTATCAGTTTCAACTATATTATTAGTAAAATCGACTTGACATCAAGCAAACATTGTCGACAAAAATACTTCTCTAAAGCACCGTAACTTCCAGATAAACTTAAGACTACCTTATTCGTATTAGTCCACTGTGAGTGCTAATAACATCGAACGCATCACAAGTACGACTTAGTTCCAGGTACTCTGATGAAACAGAGTGAAGTGCAAGGATATCTTTTTAGTTGTTGGATACCGCCTTCATAAAAATAGGTATTAGTCAAAAAGAATCTGTGTGTCAGTTAAGGTACCCGTCACCAATGGAATTTTGAGGTAAAAGAATGGGGCATACACAATTTATACTGATGTCTAGTAAGATATCGAAAAATTGGATGAAACATGTAGGATATGCCTAGTCAACATATGACTTTAAGTGAAATGTAAGATTTATTTTCTGTGTATAGCTGGATGCAGAAACATTATGCATTTATTACATGCGCATCTATATTTAATTTTCATCACCAGCACGTTAGTAAGACGCGTACCTAAGTAAACCAGAGAGCATTCCCATTATCTATCTGTTTATGTTATAAATTTACAAAAAAGCTTTAAACTTGTTGCGAGATAAAACACAGATGGGCATTTTGCATATCAGCACAATAGTTAAAAAATAGAATACCAACCAGAGTAGAAATACATTTATAAGGAATAAAATAAACATAGTCATCTAAAGACATTAAAATACCCTCACCTAATCATACACAAAGAATAAATCAAAGTATTTAAGACGAAGTAAAGAAAACATAACTCATTGTTAACTTAGGTCTGAACAGTACAAAATAATTAGCACAATGAAATTATCTCACATTCAAGAGATTTTTTTATTGAGTTCATAATCATTTAAAGAAATACTGCTAATATTAAAAAATTATTTATGAATCTAAAAGTGAAAGACTGAAGTGATCTTCACGCTGACAAAAATAAGCAAGGAATACAATCACAGAGAAGTCCAAATAAACTATAAGCGTATATCACATATATTGTATGCGTATGGAGAGACTGCATATATGTATGCATATGAAATTCACTAAATTCTTCACTGAAATCTATCAAACAGACAAGTATGAAAAAATTGAAATCACCTTGAGGCAGTACAGTTTAAAAGTAAATGCCATTTGAATGAAAATGTACATCAACTGATGACCTAAAAGAGAAAACAACAAATGATAATACTGCTTAACAGAGTGAAATTTTCATGTGATTGAAAATAAGTAGATAGCTCAGTTGGTTATATTTAATATCAGCTGCCAATTGAATTCAAAACCAACATCTTATATCATTCGATCGCAATTAGTTGGATCAATTTTCAGTTCATTGCGATTTAGATATGAGTCCATAAATTCGGTAGGGTTGTCTTTAAGTTGGATGCAAGTAAAAAATCGACATACAAAACCTTAAAAACTAGTTTCATTGATAAGTTGGATTTCCGAGAGCATTACGGAGAGAAAATCTGTTTATCATATAAAGTATATCGGGTAGGAATTCATCCCATTATTATTACGGTTGTCAGTCAGCTACAACGTAGGACCAGGCACATATGTGCATGTCAAAGGTGGTAATATATAAGAGAAAGATTGCATATAGAGATACAGTACAAGAAGAAAAAATTGGTTCGTAGAAAGAAAGGTATGAAGCGATTTTAATCTCTTAGTTTAAGGGAAGACAGGGAGTGTATACACTGACGCCATTGTGATCGATTCTGAGCCATGTCACCAAGAGTCTCCAACCATTGGTTACGATAGTCACGCGGACCCCAACCAAATAGTCTGCATCTACCAACATGGCTCAGACTAGAAGTTAGTGACTTCAAGCACTGATGCCACGTTTTGGTTTGGCCTCCCCTAACTTTCTTCCAACCACCCCGAACACCGAATAGCATCGCACGTCGTGGTAATCGGTATTCAGGCATACGTAAAACGTGACCCAACCATCTCAGTCGATGAAGATTCATAACCTCATCAACTGATTTACCATCATTTCCTAATACCCTGCGTCTAACCTCACTATTACTTACCCGGTGATCCCAGCAGACGCCAGCAATATTTCTAAGGTATCTGTGGTCAAATACTAGTAGCTTACGAGTGTCTTCTACTCTTAATGGCCATGTTTCGTTGCCGTAAGTTAAAACAGAACGGACTGCTGCGCAGTATACTCGTCCTTTTATTGATAGACGGATATCTCGCCTTCGCCACAGGTGATGTAAGTTGGCAAAAGCCAAACGAGTTTTTCGAATCCGTGCTGAGATTTCGTCCGACACCAACCCATTAGGGCTGATCAGACTTCCAAGATAAGTGAAGTTGTCAACGCGTTCGACTACTTCACTCCCTATCCTTAGTTCAGGTGTTGACGCAGACCAGTCCTGAAGCAGCAGCTTGCATTTAGAGGGAGAGAAGCGCATTCCAAACATTCTGGCATTGTTGCTTAGTGCTACCAAAAGACTCTGCATATTATCAGCGTCTTCACCAAACAGGACTATGTCATCTGCGTATTCTAAGTCCATAAGTGGACCTCCTGGACGGAGATCAATACCCGAGAACTCAGTCGACGAGAAAGTTATTTCCATCAGTAGATCTATGATGAAGTTACACAAAAATGGGGAAAGTGGACAGCCTTGACGGACACCACTTGAGGTTGCAAAATCAGATGACAGTTTGCCATAAGCTCTGACTCGACTAGTAGTGTTCGAGTAAAGAGCCTTTACAAGGTTTATGTACTTCTGGGGTACGCCTTTCAATGACAGACACTGCCACAGAATCTCGCGGTCTACCGAGTCAAATGCTGCTTTTAAGTCGAGAAAGACCACCAATGTCGGACGCCGATAAGTATGCCTGTGTTCTAGAATCTGACGAATGGTGAATATGTGGTCGATGCAGCCACGACCAGGTCTGAAGCCAGCTTAGTTCTTTCGTGTTTGCAGTTCACGAGTCTTAGTTAGGCGCCTGATAATTATCGAGGCTAGTATTTTAGACATTATATTAGTTAAACTAATCCCTCTGTGGTTTTCACAGGATGATTTTGACCCTTTCTTATATATTGGGACGATAAGTGATTGTGACCAGTTAGATGGAATAACGTCTAACTCCCAGATCTTAGCTAAAATATTAGTCAACCTAATCGCTAAAATTGGACCACCATCCTTAAGGACCTCTGGAGCCAGTCCATCTGGACCAGCTGTCCTTCCTCGTTTCACATTAACTACAGCCTTTTGAACTTCCGCTAGAGTTGGGGGACCTACTTCAATGTTCCATTCACGCTGTCTGGGAATGGACGGTAGTTGTAGAGTAGCTGAACGCCAGTTGAACTGTTCCCTAAAGTGTTCCGCCCATCGTTCTAAACGTCTGGACTGGGAGTAGATGAGAGTATCGTCTTTTTCCGATATAATCTCACTTACACTTGACTTAATAATTCCAGTTTCTTTTATTAGTCTGTAAAGCTGTCTTGTGTTCCCTATAGTCGCCGCCTTTTCCATCTCTTTTGCTTTCATTGCCCACCACTGCTCACGGACGTTCCTTAGACTTTTTCTTAACCTAGATCTGATTTGTTGTCGCTCTTCATCATGTTCGGAACCTGATGGGACGAGTTTGCGAGAATCCATCAGTGTGATAGACTTTGAAGAAATCCACTGGTTCTTTGTAACTCTGTGGTTTAAGTCGCTAATAGACGTCACTGCTGTTTCCACAACTGCTTTTATGTCTTTCCAAGCAACATCTGGGTCAGCCTCGTTTTCAGAACTACCTAATTGTGAACTCAGTTGTTCTTGGAACCTACTTTTGGTTTTCTCGTTACTCAACTCAGTTCTAATAGATCTTTTTAATGTGGCTTTTTTGCGTCCCGTGAGGCGCAAGCAGATGTGTGCCCGTATTAGGGCATGGTCGGAGTCCAAGCAGGTACTCCAGAATAAGCGACAATCTTCTACCGACCCTCTCCAACGATGACTGGTTGCAATATGGTCTATTTGAGTCCATCGTTGGTTTGGTGTAGGGGGTCGCCATGTTAGACGATGTTTCTCTTTATGCTTAAAATTAGTGTTTGCCAAAAATAAACGATTGTCTGAGCACAGTTGCAGCAGACGATCACCATTATCTGTTCACTGTGCCGGAATGCTAAAATATCCACCTAAATGCCTCTCTGTTTGGTTTAAGCTACCTATCTGAGCATTAAAGTCACCCCCTACGAGTACTATGTCTGAGCGTTTAGCTTTCTGAAGAAGTTCAGAAAGCTTTCTGTAAAATTCATCTTTCGC